ATTCTGCCACTATCAATACCCACTAATGGCGTTGAGATTCATTGTTATGTCGCCCCTATAGCCTAAAAAATGTGGGAGAATGACAGAGACAGGAAATAGCTGTGCAATGCTGCCTGTTGCACAGCTGGTAATGCAATAACAGGTATTGCTGGGGAGAGGATTTGGCTGTATCAGTGGCTGAACAATACAAAACAGAAGTGAACAGAAAACAGAAGAATGGGAGTCTGCTCACCATCTACTAGCTCAGATAAGTAAAATAATGTAAGTTGGATGACAAATGTAAAATGAGCTATATACAGTATATATTTTATTGTGTAATCTATGCATTTTGTTTATGTTAAAAATTAAACAAATTCATTCTTAAAGGAGCCTGCTTATTAGTGCAAGTTGGCTCATTTGATTGCTTAATATATTTCGAACCAAAAGAGAGCAAGCCGAGGGTTGCTTCCTCTCTTGGGCAGGGTGTGGTGCTCTAGTGTCGCTCATGTCTTCCACCAATCCATCCTGCTCTGCTATTAGGAAGTGGTTGCGACTTACACACCAGTCAGAGTGCTTGTCATGAATGCCAGTCAGAATGTCGTTCACACTCAAACACCCTTGCAAACCACCCGACTACAAAACCTCCCCAAAAAAACAAACACTGGTATGTTTAAAACCTACAATTCTAAATTGTCATTTACAGGGTCATTCACAAAGCTGCCGAAGGCAGCCGAGTGAATAACCGAGCCGAAGTGAACAGAGCCGAACGCGGTCGGCTATTCACGCCGGCTCAGTACGAACATGCTCTGCATGTTTGGCTGAGCCAAAGTGCAGAGGGACTAAAACTCAGCCGATCCAACATCTGGATCAACTGAGCCAAAGCTCCGGCAGCTTACTCGTTGCCGTTCTCCCCTATTCTCATAGGGGCCAAACGGCAGTGAGTGAATAGCCGAATGTCACCAAGCGGCATTCGGCTTGGCTTTTCTGCTCGGTACCTCTGTGGTACTGAGCAGAATAGCAAAAAAGTGAGTGAAAATAATAATAATTTAAAAAAAAAGGTTAAGAAATGTTTTTCAAAATGAAAAATAGGAAAATGTAAAAATATATATATTAAATAAAAGAAAAAAAAACAATTGGGCGGAGCTAGCAGTGACAGCTAGCTCCACCCAACTGTTTCGTATTGGCCGGCACCTGCTAGAGCCTTCTAGCAGGTCTCAGCCAATTAATAAAAGCTGGGCGTAGCCGGCCGTGACGTCACGGCTGCCTCCACCCAGTTGTTATTGTTTAATGACAGATCAGCATCCCCAGGTCATTTGGGGACACTGATCTGTCATTACAACTGGGGCAGAGCGAGCCAAGAAATCACGGCTGGCTTCGCCAAGCTGTCATTTGCGGGGAGAACGGCCGGCTCTTGTTTCGGCTGTAACTTCGGCTCAGTCAAGCCGAAGCATATGCCTTTGGCTCTGTTGAGCCGATCAGCTGCCTTATTCACAATAGCCCATACAGCAGCCCTTTGGTTCGACTGAACCGAAGGGCTCCGATGGCCAAAGAGAGCCAAAGGATCAGCCGAAGCTATGGCTTTATCCTTCGGCTCAATAGTGAATAACCCCCTTAGTTTGTATTTTAAACAGGTGTTGCTCTAAGCTTTCCAAGTAAGCCCAGGAGGGAGCGCTGCCTGCTGTCAGGATGGCCAAGCAGGGAGGAGAGAAGCCGCAGCTTTCAGGACGGCCGAGCGGGGAAGAGAGAGCAGCTGCTATCATCCTGTCAGTTTCAGGATGACAGCGGCTGTGTGCGTGGCCAAGCAGAGGATCGGTAAATACCTGTGACATTTACTGATCTTCTGTGTGTGGAACAAACACTGTAATGATCGTCTGATCACTCCAGTGTTCGTAAATAACCGGGGGCACATAGTACTATGTGTCCCCAGTTATGAACAGGATGTGATTTACATCACTTCCTGCTCATTCATGAATTTCTCAATGGGGAGAAGCACTCACTACAGAGGCTCCTCCCCATTCATAAACTGGTGATAGTAAATATTTTACTATCATCAGTTTCTGAATGAATGGGAAGCCTCTGTACTGAGAGCATTACATTCAATGAGTGCTGAGGCTGCAAAAAAAAATAAATTGAGGACTTTGTGTCCTCAATTTCTTTTCTATTTTAAAATGGAAATGTCAGATATTCACTGAAGCATTAGCTTCTTTGCTATCTGCCATCATTTCAGGGGGGTGATCTCTTCCTTGTTATTGCCCCCCCCCCCTCCGTTGACAGAGGGCACCTCCCTGAAATGAGAAGGGCACCTCCCTGAAATTACTTATTTTAGGTGGGGATCCCTTATAATATGATGTGTGGACTATGAGGACTTCCCAAAATAGCAGGCAGTATGTGCTTTCTAGAGAGACTTTCTGCTTGTTAAATTTCAGATGCTCTATTATAAGTTTGGGAACCTAGTTTTAAAGCAGTTCAGAGTGTAAGTTTAAGTTGGATGTTTTTATTGTTAAAAGAATTGTGATGCAATATATTGCCTTATGACTGACTTTAAGTTAAAGGATAAGGAAACTTTCAAACAGCATTTTCTGCATGTTTCCTCACCCTTCCCCCTCCCCCTGTGCCGGTCTAAGGCTTACACCATGAACGCACCTCCCACAAACACTTTTTTTGCTGCTGGACAGGGAACTGCTTCTGTAGTTACAACTGACAGGTGAATGATCTGGTAATGACCTAGTAAATGTAGCATTCAACCTGGTTCCTGAACCCAAAGCGTCTCTGCCCCCCCCCCCCCCCCAACCCGTTCCATTACCACTGTGCCAGTATATTCCTTCTCATCTTTATGCCTGAAATGTCCCTACCACTGGGCCTTCACAATCTCCCACCCCCTACCCCCGCAACCACTAACACCACCATAAGTGACCCCATATACCTCTCCCTGCACCTCACTTGCACACCAACTGCCACTCACACCCTTGTGCCTGACCCCCATTCTCTCTCCCTGCTCCCACCTCCTCTCCCACATGTCCCCACTTCACTCGCCACTGCACCACCACCCACCACCCAAGTGCTTCTTGTCACTGCACCAAAGCATGCCTCAGCGCTCACCATCACAGTACCAGTTTGCCCTCTTGTGCTTTCCGACACTGCAGAGATACACCCTTCCATAAACAGCGTTTCCAATCAACAGGTACATTTTTGTTAATTTACATAAAAATGTGGGCAATCCCAGTATGAACACAGTAAACCCCGCCATAAATAGTTAATTAATGCAAGAGTTGCTTCTGTAGTTACAGCTGACAGGTGAATGACACTGGTAATGACCTGGTAAATGTATTACTCAACCTGGTTCCTGAAACCACGCCCCAACCCTTCCTCCTTCTAACTACCGCTGTGCCTGTATCCTCCTTCTCATCTTCATGCCTGAAATGTCCCTACCACTGGGCCTTCACAATCTCCCACCCCATACCCCCGCAAGCACTAATACCACCATAAGTTACCCCCATCCACCTCCCCCTTCACCTCAACTGTAAACCAACTACCACTCTCGCCCCCTGTGCCTGACCCCCATCCTCTCCCCCTGCTCTTATCACCTCACCCACATGCCCCCACTTCACACACCATTGCACCACCACCTCTGTGCTTCTTGTCACTACACTGATGGATGCCTCAGCACTAACTATCACAGTACCAGTGAACACTTCTGTGCTTTCTGACACTGCAGAAATACACCCTTCCATAAACAGCGCTTTCAATGAACAGGCACACTTTTGCTAGTTTGCTTATAAATAAAAATGTGGGCATTCCCAGTATGAACACAGTAAACCTTGGCATACCTAGGCAGGTATGGCCAGAGTTGCCTGATCTATCTATGAACATAAAAAAGACAACTGGAGGTTACAAAATGGACACGTGTTCACTGCAATTACATCATCACCTTACCAGGTAGCAGAAGATCAAAAAGTAGACTATAAAATACATATTTTTCTATTTCATTCTTCTAAATCTTTATTTGTCAGAAAGGGAAAACCGACAGCTGACACCTCTGTCTCACTTTGGGTCATACTTCATCTTAACCTTCACACGGCAGTAAACAGCACTAATTAAAACTCAGGATTTATGTATTTCATATGCAGTATCAGTAAATAAAGCAGTGTTTGTACTTACTATTTTCTACATACATTCTAAAAGATTTTAATGGCTGGCAGGAATACTAAGCATTTGTCAGTTCACAATGGCCTAGAGCTCAATATTCAGCAATACAGTGCTTATAATTTCACATTAATTCAACATCTGTGAATGACAGTCACCCTATGTTTTCAATACTAAGATGCGCGGGGAGCATTTAATTAAGAGGTTTATTTGGAAACTGGTCTATATCAACTATATAATTGGAGCAACACTTGATTTTGTTCACAGTCACACATAAAATGTGCAGCAAGCCCTAAAGAGCGGAAGTGAAAATAGCTTGAAAAAAAGTTGTAATGGGCAGATGCATTTGTCAAGCTGCTGTTATTTACTAAAAGATAGTGCAGCTCCTGGTAAGCCTCTTCTAGAGTAAAATGGCTGACTATATAGAACAGCAAGCTACACCAGTCCATTTATGATTTTTTTTCCGCACAAAATTAACACAACGTACACCCAGGATTTACACAATTTAACCCAGTTTAAAAAATATGTGCATCTCTGATTAAAGTTATGTGAATCTTATATGAAAACATTCGTAATAAATAGACCCCTTGGCTTCATTATGAAAATGAATTGAATATTTCAAATGATAGACAGATATGGGGATATTTAGATGCATGTATCTGGATGGTATTAGTAACTCATTTACAATTTCAGGTTTGTATTAATATCATGTATATAAAAAAAATAATGCAAATACAGAAAAGCACATCTATACAGGAAGTAGAACAGCACATAGTAAAAAGATACCTGGCTTTCAAATGTGACAACCGTAACTCACTGTTGTTCATACTGCCTCAATCTAATTCAGTTTTTATTTTAACAAAAAAAACCTTACTTACCCATCACCAACTACGACACACTTTATGGCCTGCATAGCTGTAGACAGCAGTGGTCTTCTCCTCCGAGCACTTGTCAGTGAAAAAAGGAACTAGCAAGAGAGGGAGATGGAAGGATGGCTACACAGAGAGCAGACCACAACTGTGAGATGCTATGAAACCGGAAAAGATATTTACTCAACTATAGAGGAACTAAAGCTGTAACCCTCTAAGTGCCACATGCAGTATATCTCATGTTTACTTCCTTACCAATCTACTAAATCATTAAAATAGTGTAAAAACATCAGAAAATAGCATTACATTTTTAGGTGATTTGCACACTTAACAGTTATGTTATTTGTACAACACTTTTCTTGTTCAGGACTCAATGCATTTAACAAAACAAGTTAAATGTAAAAGCAATATTGTAAAGGCAATGACTGATTACCATAGGCTTGAGTAAATAAGTATGCAGTTATCTTTTTCTTTTTACATTTGTCCGGGGATGGAGCCTTGTGGGCATGAACAGGCAATTTCATATTTTTATAATATATGATTTGAAGTGGATTTTTCCATTTGATATATTTGGTGTATCGTGCTTTGACGTGCTATCATCAGTTCATGTAAACTAGAGGACTATGAACCATTCAAAACAGGTCTTCTTTTAGGCCCTATGCATTTTTATCATGTGTCTGCGCAGGTATCTTATCTTGCTGGAGAAGAAAATACACTGCATGTCCCAAAAAAAAAGGCACAACCATACTATTTAGCTGGATCGCCTTTAGCTTTGATTACGGCACACATTCGCAGTGGCATAGTTTTAATAAACTTTTGCAATGCCACAACATTAATATCCATCCAGAGTTGCATTATTTTTCACCAAGATCTTGTAGTGATGATGGGAGCGTCGGACCACTGCGTACTGCGTCTTCTTCCGCATATCCCAAAGATTCTCAGTTGGGTTAAGGTCTAGACTCCGTGGTGGCCACTCCATTTGTGAAAATGATGTCCCATGCTCCCTGAACCACTCTTTCACAATTTGAGCCCAATGAATCCTGGCAGGTGACCTAATTTTTGGGGACAAATAATGTTGCTGAACCTAAACCTATTATTGAATGGAAAGCTTTCACCTATTTGCTTAGCTAAATCCAGGTGATGACTTTTTTTTTTTGGACAGGTAGTGTAGGTGAAGCTATATGCATGGTTTCATGTCTCTTGCCTATTGGATACAGAACTCATCTTACTGTAAATAATTGTGCAAAAGACTTTATCATATCTCCCAATTGTTCCTGATTTCGAAGCAACTGGTTTTGTCCCTCTTTCCACCTCAGTTGTCCCTGTTGTTGGCCTGATGTACAGATATCTATGAAAATGTACTATTTAACTACCAACAGTGTTATTCTCCACTAAAACCACCATCCTATCTCTTAATTATTTCATTTTCTATTTTAGACAGCCAGTATAAAGGAAAAACAATCGTCAAAAGCAACAATTCTGCTGTTTACTGATCATTTTTGGAATATAAATTCCTAATTGTCTGCATAACTGGGGGCCAGGGCAGGAGTGTGTTCATTGCCTAAATACAATGTACAATCTCAGAAAGTTGGGAGGTATGTCTTAGAGCTCCTGGAAGGCCCATAGGGCCTACCTATACATATCGAAACATAGCGCCCAACCAGGCTGGGGGACACCCGGAGCGGTTACCGAGTGTCACCCCGCCGACTCGCCACTGTGCATGCGCGTGATGTCACCACGCTCGTGCGCGATGACGTCATCGCGGACGCGTGGCACTCTTCTGATACCTGCCGGTGGCCAACTTGGTGATGGACACTGGCAGAGAGAGGAGGGGACAGTCACCCGGCGGGATGAGGTATGCCGCCGGGTCCCCTCCTCTCTCTCCTGATACTGTCAGGCATTCGTTCCATGACTGAGTGCCCGACTTTTCAGAGGGGGGGTGACACCAAAATGACTATCAGTCATTTTGGTGTCACCCCTCTAATGGTGTCACCCGGGTGTGGGCTGCACCCCCACCCCCCTTGTGACATCACTGCGCCCAACTGTTCCTCATTTGGACGGACTGTCCCACTTTCGGGACTAAATCCCATTGTTCCTCTTTTCTACACAATTTTCCTCATTTGTGTCTCTTTTTGGTCTGATGTATAGACCTATATAAAAAATGTATTATATAACTACCAAAAGTGATATACTAAAATCTTTGAATTTCTTAATTCTTACATTTGTTATTTTTAAAAGCTGTAACAATGTAAAAGTAGTGGTGAAAAAAGCAATCGTGGGTTTAACTGGTATATCTGTCTCCACTGCGGCGATTCCCCTTACTTCTTGTCCTAGTGATTACTGTTCTCATAGGAGGAAGTTAAGTAAATGTCTCCATCATTATGGTAGACACCAATACAAACTGATATAGAAGCAAATAACTTTGAGGGTGGGGACTGACTGCAATTAGTTTAGGGTCAAAGGCTGTTCACTTAATCATTCCCTTGCATTGCCTATTTAAAGTGTGTCAAAACCCAGGAACAGCAAGTTTTGTATATTGCCGTTTAACAGGCCTTAGATGTAGTGGCCGAAGTTGTCTTTTTTCAGCCTTTTTTTCCTTTATTTTTACCAGGAGGTCCTGCCAATAGTACACTTCCTATTTTAGGGTGACAATGCTTACTCACTGTACTATACCTATAGAGGAGCAGAGTTGTCACCCTAGGACAGGAAGTGTTTTAGGGCTATAGAATGCCTTCTACTTCATACAATTCTGTATGCCCAAGAGTAGCAGTAATTTGGAAGAACACCAGTTTTAGCTTTTCCCTGGAGGAAGATTCCCAAAAGACATCAATTTTCTTTGAATCTCCAAATCTCAAGACCAATGTCTTAAATGCTTGTTACTCTTGCTCAGGGCCGGCCTTTGGGGTGTGCAAGCTGTGCGGCCGCACAGGGCGCCATGGCAACAAGGGTGCCGTACAGTTTAAGGATGACAGCAGCTCTTTGCGTGGCAGGGCGGGGGATCGGTAAATAGCATTGATATTTACCGATCCTCCGTGTGAGAAGGACAAACACTGGAGCGATCGTCTGATCACTCCAGACATCAAACAAAACACTTTTTAATGCTATTTTGGATCCAGCCATTGGCGTGTTCTGGAGGCAGGGTGCATGGCGTCATATTACACCGCACGTGTTGGGCACCGCCATCTTGGTGTATATCTAGGTATACACCAAGATGGTGGGGCCAATATCGGTGTGTGACTATTTTTACTTTTCTAGATATACTGTCTTGAAAAAAGGGGTCGGCATGACAACCTGACACTTTATTTTTATAGACTCTATATTCTATTGTTTTATTTGATAAGAATACTTATATTGTGCATACAAGTTTAATACCTTTGAATAAAAGTTTTATTTTTATCATACTTTTTAATATGTTTCTCTGCGGCTTAACTTGTGGTTACGGGGTGTGTGGCCACTAAAGGGTGTGGTCACTGAGGGGTGTGGTCACTGAGGGGCGCTGTAAAGCTTTCTCGCACAGTGCGCCCAAAGGCCTAAGGCCGGCCCTGCTCTTGGGTAGAGACAACTGCTCTTCTTAATAGAATGAAGCACTCCTGATACTTCAGCTTCAGGAATATGAACCTGATGGAAGATGTATCCCTTTCCCCCCACTATTTGAATTAAGTAGTCAACTAATAAATGTTTTCACACAACTTTCACATAAGATTAACATATTTTATAATTGTTAAAATCATGTGGATCTTTGTGAAGGGTGTGTGAATCCTGGGTAAAAACGCTGATACATGTCCTCTAAGTTTTTTTATTACCCTAAGTGAGAACATTAGATAGATCCTCTCTCCATGACACTGGAAAAAACAGGCAGCACAGCCCAAACACATTGGGTGTGAATCAGCCCTGAATCTGTTGTTCTGAAAAACATGTTTTTAGGGTACCAGTTGTGATGGTAATTATGTATTGGCACCCCAATACTAATTAGAAAGCCCCTTGGCCCCTCATTTTGCTGGAATAAGCCACTTTCTGGATCAAACCAGATATGAATTAAACATATGTGTTTTCTGGTCAAAGGGTCTTCAGAAGAAAATCTTTCACATTCCACAGTCTGCTAAGTACTCTAGTTGTTTTTCCAGGCCTGACTGTTTTTTTGGTGTTCGTCATAAACCCTAATGAAAATTCATAAAGCGATAATAACCAGTACACAAGACAGACTCATTTAATCCACAAAGATGGCCTACACTAATAACAATTAAATTATCCTCAATTCACCCTGGTGGTTAACATTAGTTTAAAAATGCACTCAGTATTTGTGACTTTAGACCTGGGGGGTGATATATTAACCACTTGATGACTGGGGTGGAGTGGCGACTCTAGGAACAATATATAGGGGGGGCACATAAGATACCACAGTCAAAACTGGGGGGCACTAATAATTTTCATTACATGTCACAAGCGCCGGGCGCCAAGAGCTGGTTTAATTGCGGATGACTTGGGCGCCCGGCGGTTGTGACATGTAGTCCAATGCCGCCCACAATCCTGCAACCGCCGGTCGCCTATGCCTTCCGCACTAAAATCAGCTCTCGGCGCCCAGCGGTTGAGGTATACAGCAGGCCCTGAGTAGCAACTTTTAGCCCGGGGGCAAGTACAACCCAGAGGCCCATGTTGCAGCGACTTGATCCCCCCTCCCGTCTGCTTCTTCCCCCACCTTCTACCAGCCCCTACCTGTTACTTTTGCCATCCATCTAATGGTAGTGTGAATGGTCGGGTGATGTGAAGACTCACTAGTAAGTCCATAAAAGGGGTGACTGACTGGAGGATTGTGCTCTATTCCCACTGGGCTCCCTACATGGTTCTGGCCTTACTCCGCTCCATGCCAGATACTTAGGCACTATCACCAACTGTAGACCGCCGCTGGCTGTCCAGATGTCTGGACTGTGAGCTGTGGGAGGATAGTGGGAGGAGTCGGACAGTGTCAAAGTCAGTGTTCTATAATTTTTCTTGACCCTATACATTTTCTCGACTGTGTCACTTCAGCTGAGTCATCCGAATCAGCTGTTTTCTTGACCCCCTTTCTTCATGACATGAGCACCTGGTAGTAAGGCAGTAGAGAAATGTATGGGTTGAATTATTTCAATTATAGCACACCGGTA